AAACTTACCAGTGTGTGCGAGACTTAAAATGACCATTAAAGTGTAGGTTACGTCTAACTTCCCATCCGTGTGTCGACAGTCAGATACTTCCAGATTATACAGTTGCTTTTTACGGCTCCCTCTCACCACGATGGAGCCTGTGTGTTCAGCTAAACAACTAATGTCATTTGCAACTCATGTGAATCAATAGCTTCCTTTTTAACCTTTAAAACCACTGTGGCATAATTGGCATCCTTGTTTTTATTGATCCATCACCACATAGGAGATCAATTGGCAAGAGTAGGAGAACCAGGTGGGGCCTATCGCACGTTCCCAGCATGTTATTGGCATGTTTGTGCGGCCCACTGATGCCACGTGCTGCACATGCACAATGCATATCATGCGAGATAAGATCCAGATCCACATATCGCCCCCGAGATGCTACAACTGGACCCGGTGAAGTGCGTATTTACGTTAACGCTCACATGTTCTTCGGTTTGGCGCGATCCAGTCACCCTGTTTGACACTGGGGCTGATGTCCAATGAGTTATTGTGAGCGAGGCTGTCGTGTGCTGCAGACTTCCAGAGCCGTAAGACTTGGCCGAGTCGCACATAAACATCCAACGGTAAGACTCTCCAGATCCACTCCTGTCCTCAGGTTGGATTTCCCTATGCCCGGGCCTTTAATGGTAGGAAATACTCCGACTAAAATAGGATAGGAGGGTTCACAGCGAGGTCTCGCCAATTGCTCAGAGCCGCCGCTCGTTGTCAAGTGGTATTAAATTGATTCCCGTAGATCGGTGACGATCTCTGGAATCTAAAGCTGTTGAACTTTTGACCCATGTGTGCAAGATTTAAGTGAGGTGAACATGATTTCAGGGAAATGACATCGCACCTGTTCTAAAACTGGGATGCGTTAAATTCATCCACCCGGCCTTACTGGCTAATTATCATCAAATGTGTAATTCTCTGTTTCATCCTTGTTGTTGTGCTGTAGCCAAATCTTTTTCACGAGCTGCTAAATATCTGCCAGTGCTTTTTGTATATTAAGGAATATGTTGGCTCGGCTGAGGGGCCCACTGCGTCGAGTAGAGAGTGTGTGTGTGTGTGTGTGTGTTTGAGGGGGGGGAGGGTGTTGCCATCCCTGCCCCTGCGATTTGTTTGTGGTGGGTGTCCACTGAATGGGACCCCCCCTGCGTAATGATCCCTCTACTTCCTAAAGCACTCAACCATGACCATCACCTTTCACCCTGCATCCTCCTCCTCTAAGAGCCAACATTTACATATGTAAAAGTCCAACCCCACCCCGCCTTCAGCCGGGGGGGGGGGGTGTCATCTCCATACGCCGCGCTCAGAATAGGGTGTCAAAGGGTGAGGGTAAAGAATACCCCCAAGATGAGGAAGGAGGAGATAAGATAAATCTGGAGTGAGGAAGACCGCGTTCGACCTCAGGAGGTGCTTGGGAATCTGCCACGGTGCTGCAGGAGAACGTGCACACATTCATGCTCAGGACGTAAACTTCACCGTGCACGCTCCTGCATTAGCTCAAAATCACGAGAGGCAACGGCTACTGTGTACTGCATCTGTCTTCTCACGTTTAAACACCTTTCAGGTTCCTCACCCCCCCCCACCCCGCGGTGCTGGAGAGAGAGAAGCTGTTGATACGTGAGGATCGTTGTGAAAGTGTGATGTAAGAGGTCACATTGCCCTAGAAATAAAAGCAGGAAGAGGAGGAAACCCCAAGAACATAACTCTCCCTGGATCTGTTTACAGAACTGCCACTGCCTTGTAAACTCTAGCAGAAAATTTGACATCATTTGGACAGAGAGATTTACTGACACGCCAGAGAGTTTGTTATAGTCAGTGGAGACCAGAGTTTGTTTTATTTTAAGGACTATTCATGGAACTGGATGTGTCATTTATTCCAAAAGTGATGTTTTTTTAACCACATTAGCAGAATGACTTTACGAAGAGCAGAGTCGCTCCATAGCTTCGGTCTCATATTGACACGTCTCAACTAAAACAGTAATGACTGATATCACATCAACTGAAGTCGGCTCTTATCAGTCTGTCCAAGTTGACGTTGTCATCCTGAAATATTCGTGTTTTTTTACCAGTTTCACGTAGAAACGTCGTCAGCACGTTCTCTAACTTGCTCTGAATTTCCTCACCAACACATTTTGCAAACACGTTACCAGGAAAAATCTGTGGAGCCGCTAACTCGGATATTTGCATTCTCACATTGGACTCTAGTTCTGAAAGCAGCTCCGACCAATCAGGTGATTCTCTGAATCCAGTGCCACCAACAGGTGAAAGCTTTAACCATCACCAGTTCCTATTTGTATATCCTCACAATTGGTTGATTGAAATTGATTGCGGCCACTTATTCCCTCCTCAGGATAGATTTGACGACCCCCTGACTTTTCTCCGGCTCATGTTTAAGTGATGGAACTGATGTATTTCACTCTTCAATCATTTGGTCACCAGCACATCAACGAACTCTATTTAATAGGGAACACGTGCAACTGCAATCACAATCACAGGCACTAACACAAAAAGCTGCCTCACGCTCATTTACCAAATTAATTAATATCCAGAAAAGGTCTCACACACACACACACACACACACACACACACACACACACACACACACACAGCTGACACCATTCCCTGGCCGGAGTGTTTGAGATGCAACAACCTCATAAAGCGAGCACCACATCAAGGCCAATATTGCAGCCATTGACATTAGTGGATCTACTTTGTGACTGCACTTGTGTACACTCTCCTCTCTGAGGATTGTTTGCAGTTCATGACCACGGCGGAGAAAGGGGGGGGGGGGGGGGGGGGGGGGGGGGCAAAGTCAACAGACTCACACACTGGTATTATTGGAGCGGCAGTCATGTGCCACCCTGTGTGCGCTGGCAGACGAGCTGTCGGAGACTTACAGGAGGCTGGAATCCCATCACGTCTGTCTGGGAAATCTGGGTAAATGCTCTTTAATCCCGTTGATCCCCTGCTAAAGCCAATACTTCCTCACCTGCCCGCCTGCCATGGGAGAGTGAGTGCAAACCAAAAATAGGGACGGCTGTGACGATGAGCAGCGCCGCTTCATTGTTCGACTCGGTTCCTCGTCTCGTCTTGTGCGTGTTTGAATTCTCAGTCGGAGCAAACAGGTTCAGGTCGAATAAACATGTGATGAGTATCAGGAAGGAATTCCAGCCGTTCAAAGCACAGAAGGTTCCTTCGAGGCTTTTTTGTTTGAGCGCACGAGATTATGTTCATGAACAGAAACCCAACAAAGGCTGTTTGATCACGGATCCCACGGTCGTCACTACTTACTCTCTTTTTCAATCATGTACTTGTAATATATTTAAAAACTAGCATGGATGATCTCATTTCAGCGAAATGACAACTTTAAAGAGTTTAAAATAATATAAATACGAAAATATGATTCTCACATTTTTAAAAGATGTAATCAGGTAAATGTTCGGCACTTTTTTACGCTTATAAATGACTCTGCTGCTAAATGGCATCTTTTAGGGAAAGTTTTTAATCAATTCCAGTTCACAGTTAAATATCTGTTTCATTTTATTATAGATCATAAATACAATTTATAATGTTAGGGTCATATTTTATGATTAATTTGCCCCTGTCCTATTTTATCTAGTTTTAACGTTGTAACTTTGTTTTGAAAAGTACTGTATAAATAACTTTTTATTATTATATATCAATGAATGGATTATCCATCATTTTATTGACGTTTGTCGATCGACTTAAGTTAAGACACTAAATTTAAAAAAAGTTTTTTACTCCAGTTTTAACAACTTGCAGCAAAGTTCATGAATGTTGAGAGTTGAAGGAAAAAAATCCCCCGTCGCTTTTATCTCCTCTTATTTTTCCTCCGTTGTTTTTTTCACTTTCTGTCTCTCTCCTCGGTGGAACAGTCGTCTCGGGGCCTCATTCACTCAACCAGACGTTTTTTTTTCTCCGTCTTTTTTGTGAATGGACGACAGCATATAATTACCTGGGCTGAGCTTTCAGTGTGGCCTGCTCCGTCAGCTCCACACCCACTGCAGACACACACACACACACTTTTTAACAGTCACACAGACGGACTCACTGATACACACTCGTGCACACACACACACGCACGCGTAAATACAGGCCTCCCCAGCTGGAAGTGCACAGCTGCTGCTGTTTACCCTGTCGGGACCAGAAAAACATCCTGTACAGTTCTCCGGGTGAAAACCTCCCCTCACATAATAAACACGAGCCCTCGGCGCAGTTTGAAGCTCCACTTTGGGTGGTTTCTGTGGCCGTCGAGGCAAAGGTCCCCTCCAGAGGTCCGGCTTGACGGACAGTTCAGCGTGCTGGACGTCGAGGGTAAAACATGTCGCTGAATATTCTGGATGGAATCACATTTTTTTTTTTTTTMTTCCTCAAAGGCAGAAACACAAAGCGCACAAGCGAAGGCAAACATCTGGACACAAATAGGAAAGAATGCCGAAGACACACAAGCAGTGTATATGCAGTTCTAACAGAGGTGTGACATTAGCTCTGATCCGTCCACAGACATCTCTCTGGCCCGTCCAGTTGTTTAGCTCTAAGCTCGACTCTGACAGGAAGTTTTGGCTGCTGTTGTGTCTGGAACGGGGAAGAAAAGTGGGCGAGGACACTTCCAAATCACTGCTGGAATGCAGTCGTGTGTGAGCGTGTGTGTGTGTGTGTTTTGTGCGCCTGCTCTTCACAGCGTGTCTCAAGTGTAAGTGTGTGTTTATACGCATCTGTCTGCCGCCCTGTGTTTTGCAGCTGACAGTCACTTAAGCATTTTGGCTGGCACGTAAAAGAGATTCCTGCGCTGAACTGAACTATTTGCTTTTGCCGTTGAACCTAACGACAGTAGTATCGGGGGCAGGGCTGAGCGAGAAGTGAATATACAAATCCCAGTTTGTGTATCTGTGTGTGTGTGTGTGTGAGTGAGTGTGTGCCAACCCCTCATCTCTGTTCTCTGTCTCTTGCAGCGGTGGCATTTCACAGCCCTCCAGTCACTATCAAGAAGGAGCCGCAGAGCCCGGGCTCCGACCCCAGCCAGTCCTGTAGCCACAAGCAGAGCTTCAGCTACCCCAATGGAGAGCAGTGCCTTTATGCCAGGTACCTCCAGCGTCTCCTCACTTCACGTCTCTGTCTGTGGCTCATTGAAGCGCTCGTCTCAAAAGGAGGATTTCTTCAGTCTTGACTTTCTTTAGGAAAGCAAAGTCAAGACGTATCATGATCCTCGCGACTTTGAAGCCTTTTCTTTGATCCTATTTGGAAAATTGTTCAAACTTATTTTAAAGCAGTGAAAATAAAATCACTTTCTTTGTTTTCCTGGTCTCAACCCAGCGCTGGTCAGCTTTCATGAATAAGTCAGCACGGCTAAATCACTGATCACATGCTATTGACCACCGAACATCTCCCATTAGCTCTGTTTGTTGTAAAACTCCCCCCCCCTCCCCAGCGCGACTCTATTGTTGACCCGTGTGTGGATGCACGACCCTCTGAGTGTGTTCCTGTGTGTGTTCCAGTGCCTATGAGCAGAAAAGGGCCGCAGCTGGAGCCAAGAGCTCCTGCCCGGGGACCCCCATGTCTCCCATGCAGCAGCATTACTCCCCGAAACCTGCCACAGCCGGACGGCCCGATGCTGGCTACATGAACCCTGCTGCCACCTCGCAGCCGCTGCCCAGCAACAGTTACCCCATCAACACCAGGTGACGCAGCACAGATAGAAATTTTACCGCATGCACAATATTTTACTTCCATTTTAAAGAAACTATATATTATCAGTCATTGAGCAGCTCTGAGTGGAAAGACATTTGCTGTTGAAGACATTTTAACTGTAGACACGATGACTTCATGGTCAGTTATTAGTTTTTGCTTAATTAAACTATAAGCAGCTTAATTATTTTTCCGTACTTGACCATTTTATACAGTTTTATTGTATAATTTATACAATTTTTATCACAAAAGCAGTATTGTGGAGGAGTTTCTATTAAAGTCTCCCTTTATTTCAGCTTTATTCAGAAGCCAAAATCTAATTTTATTCAATAAAAACTCTTTGAGCTGCAGAATATTTTAAAAGATCAGATCAAATAGAGCAACATGAGTTAAAAAGCTCAGATTCGACACAAGAGGAATATTAAAAAAGGACTTTGACTAAATATACAAGATCCTAACATGAGCTGCTCTATTTTATTTTTCAGTTCCAGGTTTCAGGGGCCTTCAGGAGACCCCATGTGCCCCCAGTTCCCCCCACCAGTGCAGGCCTTTCAGCGCATGAGCTCTGCACCGGCAGGAGGTGGCGGGGGCGGAGGGCCGGGTGGCGGAGGCGGCGGTGGTGGCGGTTACCATCGGCAGCACTCCGACCCCTGCATGCCCTACCTGCAGCAGAGCTTTAAGCAAGAATACGTGGACCCGCTGTACGAGCGAGCGGCTCACATGGCCGGGCACGGCCACGGATCTCACCCCCATCCACATCCACATCCACACAGGTTCCCACCAGCCCACATGATCGTCAAGCAGGAGCCCACAGACTACACCTACGAGCCGGGTGAGTGATGCTGCGATGATGTGGGAGAAGTGGCTTCACGTCCAGTGGGTGGTATATGTACAGAGGACTTATTCCCGAAATGAAAAATGTATAAAAACCTTCACATCCGATTATTTCTCTCACACATAAATATGTCACCAAGGCAACTTCTGATATTTTTTCTGATCAATCAATTAATCACTGAGTTCATGAAATAGAAGAATAGGAAATCCTCCCATTTTAGAGTTTAATCTTCATCATTCGAAAAACAAATTTATCGACTTATTGTTCCCTTAAATTGAATCAAATCACAAACACTCATAAATATGTACCCGATTCTTTTTTCATTAAGATCCATGAACTTTTCCCTGAGAAATAAAAAAAAAAATGTTGCAAAACTCCACAATTCTCACATTGTTAAAGAAAGTGAAAAGAAAATTCATTTATTTGCCCTTTGATCCAAACCTCCACTAAACTTAAACAGATTCTTCTCTGACCT